GTCCTGGGGGAACCCCAAGCTGAAGACTTGGCGTTGAAGTCCCCCAGGACCAGCACCGGACGTGGCCGGCAGCGAGAGACGCATCTCCCCACCACGTCCAGATACTGTTCATACTCCTCGAGGGACCACCTCGGAGGTGCGTAGATCGCCACAACCACGGTGCCGCCCCAGTCAACGGCCAGGTATCCCCGGCCGCGCTCGATAACGGAGCACGCCGGGGACCCCGGCCGGCCTGCCCATATTATAACGGCGGAGCCGTCCAAGTCCCCCATCCAATGTGGATGGTCGGGGACCCGGTACGGCTCCGCCGCTACGGCCAACCCGGCACCCCGCTCGGCCAGGAATTGCACGAAAAGGTCTTGTGCCCTGACCGAGTGGTTCAGGTTGGCCTGAATAATAGGACCAGTAGGCCCCATTACTCCAGTGCCTCTATCTCCATCGTCGCCGCGGGAGCGGTGGCGTCTGGGGTTTTATCAGCCCCAACCGCCCCCGCGAGCGCGACGGTGGCATCCTTGGGTGCCACATCCTTTTTATTTGGAGCTGCCACGGCGGCCGCCGCCTTGGCCGTCGTGGTTCTCCTCCCTCTGGTACCTCTGCCGCGTCTCGCGCTGGCAGGGCACGCCCGGCTGCCGAGGCGGTGGCCGGCCTGCTTGCCAGCACCCGCGTCTCTGCTCCCCTCTGCTCTGCTCTTCTCTGCTATTCTATGCTCTGCTCTGCTCTTCTCTGCTCTGCTCTTCTCCGCTCTGCTCTGCTCTCCTCTGCTCTTCTCCGCTCTGCTCTGCTCTTCCCTGCTCTCCTCTGCTCTTCTCTGCACTTCTATGCTCTGCTGTGTTCTTCTCTCCCCTGCGCTTCTCTGCTCATCTCTACTCTGCTATGCTCTGCTCTGCTCTTCTCTGCTCTTCTATCCCCTGCACTTCTCTGGTCTGCTCTGGTCTGCTGACCTCTGGTCTGATCTGGTATTCTGTTCTCTCCTCTGCTCTTCTCGGCGCTTCTCTGCTCTGCTCTTCACTGCTCCCCTCTGCTCTGCTCTTCTCTGCACTTCTCTGCGTTTCTATGCTCTTCTCTCCTCTGCTCATCTCTGCTCTGCTCTTCTCTGCTCTGCTCTTCTATGCTCTTCTCTGCTCTGCTCTTCTCTGCTCTTCTCTGCTCTGCTCTGCTCTGCTCTTCTCTGCTCTTCTCTGCTCTGCTCTTCTCTGTTCTGCTATTCACTGCTCTTCTCTGCTCTGCTCTTCTCTGCCCTGCTCTGCTCTGCTCTGCTCTTCTCTGCTCTAGTCTGCTATTCTCTGCTCTGCTCTGATCTGCTCTGCACTTCTATGCGCTTCTCTGCTCTCCTCTGCTCTCCTCTGCTCTTCTCTGCGCTTCTCAGCACTTCTCTGCTCTTCTCTGCTCTTCTCGGCTCTTCTCTGCACTTCTCTGCTATTCTCTGCGCTTCTCTGCTCTTCTCCCCTCTGCTCTTCTCGGCGCTTCTCTGCTCTGCTCTTCTCTGCTCCCCTCTGCTCTGCTCTTCTCTGCTCTGCTCTGCTCTGCAAGTCTGTATTCTGCTCTTCTCTGTTCTGCTCTTCTATGCTCTGCTGAGCTCTTCTCTGCTCTGCTCTGCTCTGCTCTACTCTGCTCTGCTCTGATCTTGCCTGCCCTGCTCTTCTCTGCTCTCCACTGCTCTTCTCTACTCTTCACTGCACTTCTCTTCTCATCTCTGCACTTCTTTGCTCTGGTCTTCTCTGCTCTCCTCTTCTCTGCCCTGCTCTGCTCTGCTCT